AATGGAGTGGGCTCTCTCACATGTATCACTGTGAAAATATCCTACAGACTTGCCTACAGCCTGACCTTATGGAGGCATTTTCTCAAATGAGACTTCCCCCTCTCCAAAGATTCTAGTTTATGACAGGTTGACATAAAACCAGCCAGCACAGACCCTGTCTTAAAATATAACATGAAGCATGATTAAGGAAGATACCAACATCAACTTCTGGTCTTTCTACACATGTGTACGTATATACAAGCATGCATACAAAATCTTAACAGATGTAGTCAGTGAAAGGGGCAAAACAGGATAGTCCCAGAACAACACCAGGTAAGGCTCTATTCAATGACTTGGCTGTTCTTTCACTTTTGGCAGGGTTCTTGTGGCTGTCCATTGCTCTTAAGTCCAAGAAAAACATCCTCAAGGTCTGAGTAGCATCCACCAAGAGGCCAGGCTGCCTCGCCCAGTTCTTCTGCTCTCTGACACTCACAGGTTTACTCCAGGCCTGGATCACCCTTACCCTTCTCTGCCTCATAAACGTCTTCTCCACATCAAACAGGTATCAGGCATGCTCTTGAAGCAAAGCGAGACAGAAGACATATATGTCTCCATGTGGCTCAACTAACGTTTATTGTCTTCTATATGCCAGGAATTTAAAAAGAGAAAGAAAGAAAATACAGGCAGAGGTTCTCCTTCATGAGATGCAGTTCCTTGCAGGAACACCATGCCGGAAGAATGCTTGGATCAGGATATTTATCATACTAGAAAACCCAGCCTCTCTTTGCTTCACACCATGTAACAATTGTATTTTTGTCTATGTGCGGTGTACATACGTAAGATGATTTTAAAAATTAGATGGCTCCACACTATTTTTTTTTTTTTGTAAAACAGAAACTAGAGACCTGTTTTGGAATTAAAAGCTTTCCTGACCATTTAGAAACTTTGCAAGATTTTCCATTCCTCGATGTTAAGTTTGCATTTGGCCACAAGCTACAGTTTAGCTTTTGGCCGCCAAGGCACAGATTGGCAACGAGACATGGAAACCCAGGGAACGAACTGTGTAAACAAACAATCTTCCCCAAAGCTCATGCAGCTCAACTAGCTCCACTGCTATAGAGGAGGACGCTTTTTCCTTAATAAAATAAGAGGAGCAAGAGAGAGGAAGGGATAGAGGTTGTGGGGAGAAGTGGAGAGAGGGACCCTAGCAATAGGGACGTTATTAAATAGATTATGATTATATTGCAGATTCTTGGGCAACTACTAAAAAGAATGATGTAACCATATATAGAACTTAGAAATATGTCATATCCACGAATGTGGATGAGTATTTATCACTACAGCATATAAAGAATATAGCCATGTGTTCACAAATTATAAAAATAAGAGTCAATGCATCTATGCACACTGAGAAAATATGAGAAACACTGGTCATTTCAAGGGGGTGAAAACCGGACAAAGAAGGTCGTTTAGCCATCATATGTGCCATCCTCACATTATTTGAGTTTTTATTAAAAAAACAAATCAAGTTTGGTCATTTAAAATAACCAGGCTTTAATCTCTGGTACCCCTCTCTGCCCAGCCCCAAATTTGTTCTCTCTCTCTCCTGGAATTAAGTACTATAATACATAGTGAGGCAGCTAAGACTAACTTATTTATGTGTGAGGCCCTCAATCGCATTCTCATTCCCGCAAGAAAAAAGGAAAAAGACACCAAAACCCAAACAAACAGAAAACCCCAAAACACTACAGGATATTCAAACCCCAAACAGGAAACTGAGGAAGTGCACCCTGCTTTGCAGAATGAATGTCGAGTTTAAGATGTTTCTGCATATACAAAGTGAAGAGAAGCGATGTTGAGCAACAAGGCTCAAAATTACAAAACACAAGGCACGGAGGAGCTCTGTTTGTAGACAAAGTTTGCTTCCGTTTTAATCTTCTGCAGCTGTACAGATCTGGCCCGCTTGCCCAGATCAATGGCAGGTGCACTGAGCTGGTGGCAGGGAGAGGCTGGAGACACACCTGCCTCATGACTCCCTCAAGGTTATACAGTGGGCTGGGAGCTTCCAAGGGAGTTGTCTGAAACTCACTCATCCATGTGGCCACACTGGCTCTCGGGTTTGTAAAGGGCAGATTTATTATGACATCCGAGAGGAAACAAGTAGCCATTTTCTTGTCAAAAACTCAGAAGGGGCCCTTAACCGTGCCGTTCACAAGCAATTAGTCAAGTGCTCAGAAGTAGCTGGCTGAGGCTGAGCAAAGCACAAAACCCCGTGGCTTTGATCCATAAGCCCCCAGCGGACCACCCAAGCTGCGTGCTCAAGAACCATGTGTGCTCATCAACCACACAATAAGATCGGCAACTCGAGGGCTGTTTATATTCACGGCACTCTGCTGGGTGCTCACTCAGCGGGAGAGAGGAATACTTAATGTCCTTCTTATAGCCGCGTGGAATGTGTTAGGAGTTTGTTCTTTGAATGAAGCCTTTGAGAATTTCTGTGTCGCCACATCACATCCCTGTGTCCTGAGTGACTGTGTGTGCCAGCAGGATTTGTGTTTTTGGTAGCTCTACTTGTTAGGGAGGGTGAGTGAGCCAATGGGCACCTGTCTGTGGCATCTCGAGCCTTCTGCTTTGGGGGCAGTGAAATAAAGCACGGTTTTATTACCTGTGGGTGGATGTCAGAAACAAGGAGGTGTTCCATTCTGTGCTGTGACCACAAAACATACCAGCTAAATGAGAAGATGCAACCAAGCCTAATTCTGGAAGATGTTGACCTGGGTGTCAATTCCGAAGGCGATGAACAATTTTAGGAGCAAAGGTTACTGTGCCTGAGGCAGGGTAGGTTTGCAATGGGCCATTCAACTTACTTCCACCCTTCTTCCAAAGTAGACACCCTAACAAAAGAAGGTCTCTGGAGTGGGTCTAGAGAGATGAGACCTAGTGGCCTAAGAATGGAGACTTTTGTTGACATGGTAGGACCCAGAAGAAAAGACTCCAACTGCCCATTATCTATTAGTCAGCAGTTTAAGAAACTACACAGGGCCTTTACAACTAATGCAGAAGAGAACATTCCCAAGAGAAGGAACTGAATGCAGAAGAGAGTTAGCAGTCTAATTTAGGGCTACCGAGGACTCCGTATGAACTAGCATTTGCTCTTAAGACACGACCAGGGCTATCTGTACTACTCTGCTTTGTAATAAGACTGTGTTTTTATTTTTGCTTTTCTTTTGCAATGATACTACGCTCTCACAAAGTGCCCTGCGGCAGCGAATGCCTTCCTGTGTTCAGATGAAAATTCTAAGGAGGAACGAGTAGAATTAGAGTCAAATTAAAGAACTGAGTCTCAGCTTCCAGGAGGATACCCAGGCAAATGAAGTTTTCTCCCTTGTGGGGTGGGACTTTGGATGTGGGTTGTGGGTTTTGTACCTCTACTCTCTTGCCAGCCTCCTCCTCTAGGCCTGCTTCCCAGAGAGCTCAGGGAAAGAAGCTGTGTCTGTAGAGATTGATTGATTAACATTGCAGTACTGTGGAGGGATTGGGATGTTGCAGGTCCAGAGGCTAACTACCTTATCTCAGACTAGAGTTAGCCTATCTGGAACAGCCATTCCCTGCCCTCCACTGACTCAGAACTAATAGACTGTAACCATAGATTAAAAAAAAAAAAAGCCTTCTGGAATCTACTCCTAGGATCCACCAACCCAAAAGCTAAAGGCTGTCACCAGGTAACAGCATATTGGGCCTATAGAAAAGCTGCCCCATCTTGCTGGAACCACCTCTCCGATGCACCCATCAGTGTGGTTTAAACTCACCTTGATGTATGATTTTCTTCACTCTGTTTGTTTCACAACCACCCAGACTCCCGAAATAACCACACAGAAACTGTATTAATTAAATCACTGCTTGGCCTATTAGCTCTAACTTCCTATTGTCTAGCTTTTACATCTTAATTTAACCCATTTTCATTATTTTATATTTTACCATGAGGCTCATGGCCTACCGGCAAGGTTCCAGCATGTCTGTCTCCGGCATCGGCTGCATGACTTCTCCCTGACTCCGACTCCTTTTTTCCAGCATTCAGGTTAGTTTTCCCCACCTAGCTCTACTCTACCCTATCACAGGCCTAAGACGGTTTCTTTATTAACCAATGGTATTCACAGCATAGAGAGGGAAATCCCACATCATTACTTCCATGTTAGAACAAGGAATTCGGATATCCCGCATCTGTGTTCCCAGGACAGTCACTCAAAATAGCTTCAGAATAAGCCATCTCTTGCTCCCTTTAAGGTGAGAGCTGTGGAATAGTGTCGTTGTTTTTGCTGTTGTTGTTTTCACCAACACTTGATTTTGTACAAAAAAATCAGCCCAGACCAGGAACACTTAACAGTCACATCTCTGTTTCATGAAGTCCAGTAAGGAACAAGGGAGTCTAAATGACCCACAATTCTTAGGGTGTCCAAAGGGGAATGAAGGTCAGTCATATGAGAGTCAAGTTATAACATTTATACAGCTTCAAGGCCTCCCTAGCTCTCATTCTGGAGCCACTATGGACAAAAGACACAGAGAATTAACCCAGGTCCCCCAAACAGAATGACAGGCAGTCTTTTATTATAAATTCTAAAATACAGTCATATGGACATTAAGACAGAATTCAGACATTGTAATTCTGGCATGCATTCTAAGCACCAAGGAGCTATGCAGTCTAAATGGGAGCCACTGGCCCTCTACATGTGGTGATTCAAGCGATTTGAAACAACATATGATTAAATATGTCATTTCCCAGCCACGTTAGCCACATTTCAGTGGTGTAGCCGTCATCATCAGTGGTTTCTCTATTAGACAACCAAGCACATCTACCTTTCCACACTGGCAGAGGAGTTCTCTGATGTAGACAAATCTTCGACATAACTTTTGGGCCTTTGTGAAGTCAGAATAGTACCAGTGTGGGGGCTGGGGAACGCAGAAGGAGGCTTTAAATGCTGCAGTCCATTAGCTTTTCTTTTTCTTCCTGAGACAGACTCATATAACCCTAGGCAGCAAACGGAGATCTTGATCTTCTGATCCTGCAGCTTCACCCTCATGAATGCTGGGATCGCAGGCCTGCACCAGCGCATCAGCCTCTGTTTAAGTGTCACACGTAAGGACCACATTTGTGGGTTGTTTTTAATTTGCTTTGTTTACAGAGTCAAGTTCTCATTGTGTAGCCCTGGCTGGTCTAGAATTCACTGTGCAAACCATGCTAGCCTCAGACTGTGGCCGTCCGCTTCCACTTCCCGAGGTTAGGATTGGACGTGGGCCGTCATGCCCGGTTGTACGCGATGCTGGGCTCTAACCCAGGACTTTGTACACGCGAAGGAAGCACTCTAGCAAACGAGCAGCTTCCCCAGCCCTACTCCTTCACTTTGTTGACACAGCCAATTTATATTTCTCTGCCCCTGTGAAGGGCTATGAAAATACAGCTTCAAGGCCTCCCAAGCTCTTATTCAGTAGCCACTGTGGACAGGAAACCTAGAATTAACACAGCCTCCCCCTCAACAGGATGGCTTCTATTATTATTATTATTATTATGCTAACAGACCGTTTAACTCTTAGTTCTTGCTTTTTAAGTAAAGAAAACTTGACCTAATCTCTGGGTGCTGCTCCCTAGCTGGTGACTGTTGAGGTCAGCCCTCCTGGGGCTTCATGGCCATATATAACCATCTGCAATGGAAAGTGCCCATTCTGCTTTAGCAACGGACTCTGAGCCTTGAGACCTGACTTAATGGGAAAGGCCAGGAGGGCTATTTTAAGAGAGCAATCTGTTATTGAGATTCTGGCATGTGCCCACTCAACGGCGTAAGTCAGCGATCTTCCTAACACAGAAAATACCCTGACAGGAGGAGTACGCCAGGTGTGAGACACTTGAATTCCAGAGGACAGGAATGTCATACAGATGAGAAATATGCATGAAATGATAGAAAGCCCGTCTCCTATTTAGGACTAAGACAGAGCTTTTCTCGTCGGGAAGGATGAGAAAGCTAATGCGATCTCAGAAACACCACACTCCAAAGTGACACGTGAAGGTCTGTCCTTTTGCCATCACGCGTGGAGAGGACGAAGTCCTGAGTGAATGTGTGCTGCTGATGTGAGTATGGCCATGACAAGAACCCCGATGCCTCAAATTCATGGGGGTAGCCAAGCCTTCGCTGCTCTGAGTCCAGATGTTCACAGTGTGTGCAGAGAGTACCAACCACAGCTTCCTGCTCCTAGATGATTGCAGCCTCAGACGTCTCTACGGAGACCTCCTACTGCGGTCAGCTAGCCGGCCTCCCCTTCCAGTTGTGTATGATAAGTAGGCTGAATCTCCAGGCCCATCTGATGGGGCGTCTCCATTGGAGTACACTGCTCACCCACTCCTAGTTTTATTTATTTACTTTTTCTGTTTGCTTTTTTGTTTTTAACCCAGGTCTATTGTTTCTTTATCCCTTGTTTTCCCAGTCAGGCCAATCCCTAAGTCTTGCAGGTCAGGGCAACACAGAAATGGTGAGCAGGATCACAGCCTACCCCAGCACAAGGTTTACAAAGCGGGGCCAGAGCAGCCTATGCTGCCCGCAGCTGTCATCCAGTCCCAAGTCATGGGCTATCTTGGGCAGCATGTTGACCCTAGGTGGCCATATGGCCAACACAGTTCACAATGTGGTGGAAACTGTTAAATTTCCCACCACTGTGGTGTAACCTTTGGCTTTCCTGTCACTAATTATTCATATGTTCTTTTTTCTTTTATTACCTTTCTTTTTGCAGTGTTAGCCTCAGACATGTCATGAACATGTGTTACTGTCTCTCCAATTCCAATACATTCATAAGAAAGCTTGCTTCACAGCTTTAAGTACAAAAAACATCCCAGGAAGTTTATTATATCCTAAAACTCTCCAGCAATATTTCCTAAAGTTTATAAAAATCACCTTGAGGGATTTGTCTCAAATGAGAGTTCCTGCGACTGGTGATCTGTCCTCAGACATTTCAGTTCAGAGTCTGGCTTAGAGTTGGGAAGTTCCACCTTAAACAAATCCTGCAGCATCTCTGGTCCAGGTGATCCAGTGACCATTGTTTGTCTAACTTATTTTGAGAGATAGGACATCTTGTTGAGCCAGAGATGCTGGTTTCTGCAGGCTTAGAGTGCTGAAGACGAAGTTTAAACTGCACTTGGCTCCATCCCTTGCTGATTGTGTTCTTGTGTAATTTAATCCATCTTTGTCATCTAGACATGTTGGTGTTTTGTTTTGTCTTGTTTTGTTTTCCTTTTCTTGTGTGGTGGTGGTGGTGCTAGGAGCTGAGCCAAGATCTTAACTGTGCTGGGCAGGTGCCCTGTTAGTGAACGATACACCTCCGGCATCCATCCTTTAACATTTATTTTTGAAACAGGGTCTCCCTAAGTTGACTTTGAATTCATACAACAGCTTAGTCACACCTTGAAACTGTAAATTCTCTGGCCTCAGCCTCCAGGGTGGAGCTAACAAGACTGTTGATTTTAGAATTAACTGAGTGACAAGTTATAAACATTGTCAATAATGCCTGGTTTGTAGCAATTATGTTACAAATGTTTTCTTATATGGAATAAACTACTAGCTATCTGCTCCAGTAACCTCCTTTCTCTGTCTTCCATGGCAACACTGTCTCCATCGACAGCAACTCTGTCTGCATCCTTCACAGCTACAGAAGTCCTGACTTTTGTCTGACTGTCAGTACCTAACATAAAGACTGTTTCTCACATCCTTTGTAACTTTGTGTGGCTGGCCTGGAAGACACAGAAAGCGGGCTGTTTAATTTGAGGGCGATAGTCCAAAGAAAAATGCAGAACTCCTTTTTTTGAAAGAGCCTGAAAAAGATGTTGCTCGAGTTACTAATTAATTATAAAGCACTTGCATTTCTTCTGGGGTCTTTCTCTTGACTTATCCTGATCATTCCTCTCTGTGTGTGCTCCATATACTCCCCAGCTCACCCCTCATACACACGTGTGCATCAGGCAAATAAAGTTCCCTTATGTTGGTGTAGATACCGGCAATTGTCTCCAGGACGGTTAGGTCATCTTGTTGACAAATGGTGACTCAGTGGTGAGGGGAAGTCAACCTAGGCACCAACTCACTGCATAGGCAGGATCCCCAGACCCCTGCAGCCCAGGGACATTTGAGGCTACGGAAGCATCCCTGAGTAGAAATATGCTAGGCAGCTACGGTGACACTGAGGAATCTGCTCATCCTAGTAAGTTGTCCACCTTGCTTGCTGGTGCTGCTGGCATCTCAGGATCATTACACTCTGTTCCAAGATGCCATGGGATAAGCTTGCCTGGTATGGACCCTTCCAGAGATTGTGTGCTCAGGGAGGAGTGGAGGAAGAAAATGGTAATGTTCATTGATGAGATTGAGGGCCAGTGGTTAATATTGAAGAAACGGTTCTAGGGAGGTAAAAAAGAAAGGACACAGACTCTTGCCTGAGCCAGGACTGCAATCCTCTGGCATGTGTTCCATGACCCATTGGACTTTAGTTATAAAATATATTAAAATTTGTTAATAATTTCCAGATGGTGATGGCCTGTTTAACTGCAGGGCCATATGTGCAGGGGCCAGCCTTGCATATCAGCGTTGAAATAGCTCTCTTGAGATCTGGGTTGGTCCTCATGTAGGATTGTTATAAAGAGTTAACTTGACTTCCAAGATCCCATATTTCCCTTCTTACCATGTGGCTACTTTCTCTGTGTCATGTGCTCTTACCGACAGACTATCCACCATGCTGTGATGTAACCGGAAGTTCCCTGCTGAAGTTGCGTGGATGAGACTATTGGATTTTTCAACTTCTAAAACTGTTACCTGAATGATGTATCCAGCCTTGGGTATTTTATTACATACCCATATTTTATAACATAAAAAATTGTGTTCTAACACAAATGGCAAATGAGTTAGAAGTATCAGATTCAAAGACAACTCCACTCTCCAAATTCTGGCACTCATTCCAATGGAGTCAGTTCTAACAGAGCCGCCAATTCTCTTATCACTGGCAGAAGGGACACATGACTCTCTGGGGCACCTATTAGCATACCCAAGCACATGCTGGTCTCCAGACTCAGTCAGCATCATAAATGCCTGTTAACACATTTTAGAGTCCTGGCTGTTCTCAGCCTGCCCCTTACCCTAAACTTCTCCAGCTTGTGGGCTTTCCTCCCCCACTTTCTTATAACCCTGCTGTGTTGACCATGTTCTCTCTCTTGTCTCTTCCTCTTCTAGCCCTCTCTCTATGCTCCCTCTTTTTGCCCCTTCTCCTGGCCTCCTTGCCCACACTCTCTCTCTTTCTTCACCTCATGCTCTCCCCACCTCTCTTCTCACGGCCAAGACCAGTCTGCTGGCCTTGCTCACTCTAGCACATTCTCTCTCTTCTCGAAACTTTTCCAGATGCCTCTGACTCACATTCACGATAAAAACCTTCTACTTAATCATACCTTGGAGTAGCCATGTCCTCAGTTTATACAAGAAGGAGTCTCCATCACACATGACATCACTGATGTCAATAGAGGTAATAAGCCTGGGCTTCTGACTTTCATGCCCAGGTATTGATTTTCGGAGCTCACAACAAACTTACATACATCTGAATACTTGACAGGGGAGAAAAGCTTGTCTGTTGTTGATTGGCTGTTGTTTTTGTTTGTTTGTTTTGTTTCTATCATCTTCTCCAAAGGATCCATGACCATAAGAGCTTACTGAACACAGCTAAAGTGCCTGAGCTCCCTTCTCAGAGCTCTCCCGGTCCATTCACACTGAAGTGCTAACAGCAATTGGGAGATGCATGCAGCACACAGAGCAGGGCAGCACACTGCAGGGCTGTATCGGAAGATGAGCCACCTTGGTGAGACGAGAATCACAGCCATACTCGAGTCATAAATGACCCCTCGCCACCCATACCAGCACACCACAGAACAACCACAGTGCCCTTGAAGGTGACGGCAGTAAAGACAACAGCCCTGCAGTTCAATTTGCTGGACTCTTGTTTTCTCGTGCCTATCAAAGGTATGTGTGTAGAACTGGAGTCTCTCAAATGTACAACAGCATTGGCTAAAAACCAAGTCCGTATAACTTTATTAAAACGTATTTACTGCACAGTGGCTGAAGCTCAGTGATAGAATACTTCTCTGCCACGTGCAGGGCCCAAGGTCCTGAGTTCTATCCCCAGCATAGCAAAGAAGAGACAGAAAAAAAAAACTTACTTGCTTTTAAAAAAAGAAAAAAGAAAAAAAGCTGGCATTTATCTGAGTGTCTGGAAATATAACATCAACAGACTTGTTGGCCACAAAGCTGCCAGGAACCTTAAGAAACACAAGGTCAGAGTAAAATGCACTTGAGCAAAGGACCATAAAATGAGGTAGTTGGTCTTTGAAAGCTACTAGCAGCCTGCATGCAATTCACATCATTTGAAAGCTGCTAACGTACAGTCTATAAATCATTGTAAGAGTAGCATTGTAGTGTGTGTGTGTGTGTGTGTGTGTGTGTGTGTGTGTGTGCTTTCCCAATTGGTCTCTCCAAAGTCTTTGGAGAAAGGTCAAAGTTCACTAACCCCCTTCAGTCACCCTAAAAGATGTTTCCAGCTGCACAGGTCCCACATATGGTGAAGTGCCCCGTCAGCACCTGGGCGAGTCAGTCCATTCTGGAGAACATCTCACCTTGCCCAGATAGGGAGTCTTCCCCTAGGGTTTTGTTTTATTTTGTGAGTTTCTTGTTAACTGTTTTATTTTGTATGACACTTTATTGCAAATATCCAGTGCTTCTCTGGTACAGGATGTACAAAGACCACAAATTTAAACACACTTGGCTTGTCAGTAGTCAAAACCTTCTTCTCCTTTCAAACCACATGTTTGTAAACACTTAACCTGGAAATGAGAGCTTAGCTCACTGACAGTCCGTTTCTCATTTCCTCGCACAGTCTCTGCTGCATCTTAAATAGGCGCCAATAAAAACATGTTTTCATTTTGCTCTATGTCTTCCTTAGGCTTCGGTTTCAGTATGGGAGGGATGGATACAAATGTGTGGTAATCTGTTGCTGAGTCAAGACTTTGGGAACGCAGTCATTGAGATTAGAAAGACAACATGGCCTGTTGGGGGAAAACCCTCACTGGCTAGTTGCAAGCCCAAGGAAGCCTTAGCAGAGCATGAACAATGGGCCCCTCACACGCCCTCACCCTTCAAGCATCTCAGCTAGCAGTGGCGATAACGGTGTTACAGTTCACATGTTTGCACTGAGGACCAAGTGAATCCCAGCTGCTATTAGAACATGTTCGAGGAAGCATGAAGCGGTCCCTATTTGTTTAGTGTCAGCAGAATCAAAGATAAAGACAACTCAGCAAGGGCCTAGAATTTAGGAAGACCATAAATCCTGAAGAAAGAGGACCTAGCTAGAACTGGAAATTTGATCCTTGGAAAGTTAGATGCAGTCAGAAGAAATATTGTGATGTAACTTGTGATCATTGAGAACTAAATTCTCTTTTTATTTTAATTTTATTTAATTATGCTGAGTGGAGAGCATGCAACTTCGTGGCAGTCTTTGAGCACATTCTCTGCGTACACCGCTCTCCTCGCCATCGTTCTGGGCCCTCTCCCTGCCTACTAGTTCCTCACTGAACAAAAAGACACTTTCTCTTCCTCTCCTGCTTGTTGTTCTGTGACACTAAGGGTCTCACTTTAGTAACCCAGGCGAGGCTCCAATTGCTTGTATCAGACTCTCGGGTTCCGGGACTCCACTACACAGAGAAACACGCACTATTTGATTTTTACTAATGATAATATTGATGGCTTCCACTATATGGACAGTTGATCTTCAATATGTACTATTTAGGTTTTAATCTTGAGTAGCCTCTAAACCAGTTGAAGCGAGGACTCTTCAGGACATGTGACATTTGTATGTCTAAGATTAGCTGCCCTGCGTACCTACTTTGCAGTGCACACATTTACTCTGAAATGTACTCGAAGGAACTTTTTGGTAATTTAAAAAAATGTCAATTTCATGTCTGTTCCTTCCCTCAGCCTCTCTGTCAATTGATAACAGATCCTGTCCAAGCGCAGGCGCTCTCCCTTGGCCCCCATCTTATTATTTTTTAAATTATCACTTTGGTTTCTTTCTAGATTTGCTGATCCTACATTATTCTTCTCCCCTATACACATTCCATTCTTGAATGGAAATAATGCTTTTCACCAGAGCTGACCAAAAATAATTTACCTAAAGGCTATATAATACAAATTCTTTCTAAGGCCTTATTGTATTGGTAAGTCACAATAAAAACTATAGCTCACTTGTATAGGAACCACTAAGCTTATAAAATGTGGTCTAGCTTCACCGTCTTTGTTAACTGCACAAAAATCCTCGGAGGTAATATAGTGAAGTAAACAGCACTCAACTCATTAAAGTTACCCAGCAGTCGTTCTGATGTTATGACACTTAAGGACTTGAAAAAGAAAAACGTGTAGACTTATAACTCATGTTTTGTGGCTTGGTTAATCATTTCTACTTAAATGGGAAAGACAGAGTGGTTACTTTGCTCTAGGACCCCTTGAATGTAGGGTGGTGTCAGGAGAGGAGTTTCTGGCTCATGGGAAGCATGGTAGTGTTGTTCAGTCAAATGCTGCCTCCCAGTTCTTCCGTATCTCACAGTGGTCTCCGTTACTAAAAAGCCAGCATATATAACCCAGCATTACCCAACCTAGATCTAACAAACCAACTTTAATAAGTGCCTCCCAGTATACCCTCCTCCAGGACTGTCTGAAAAGCACTGTTGGCTGAGCAATTATATTAGGTCTTTTAAAATTTTCTGTATAAAGTTCTAGGTTTTGGAATTTTAGTATCATTAGGAGGTTACTACAATTAAGAGGTTATTAATTTTAAGTTATTAATTTTAAGTTATTCGACTGATCACACTTTTTAAGAAATGAATTCACATAACAACACTATTTATTGAGATAATTGTTTAAAAAAACCTTTAAGCATCAGAATATTTACTTAAGAAGGGGGCAACTAGGTATAGAAGTACCAAATAAAAATAAAAAAAACAATTAAGCAAGCAAACAAAAAGCCCTCAACAACAACATCAAAAACAAAAACAAAATTCAACTAAGGGTTACTGAGGGCAGGAGAGATAGTCTTTCCCAGGGAAGAGCACACTAACTGGTTATCCAGAACAAAATGGTCTGCTCTGGAGACACACATACATGTAAGATTACACATATCGAGCAGTTTATATTTAGGAATATATATGTATACACATAGAAGGATGTGATGACTATTAATGAGCAAAGAGGCCATAAGTTTGATAGAGAACAAAAAAGGGTATGTGTGAGGGTTTGGAGGGAGAAAAGGGAAGAGAGAAACGATGTAAGTACAATCTCAGAAAGAAAAAAAAATGGCGTCCCACTAAAAAGTATCACTGTGGTTGCAATTACTGAGTATTAAGTACATAAAATTCTACAGTCCTCTAAGGGATTAGTTGTTGTTGTTCTAATCCACTTTAGGTGGTTAACGTTCAAGTCCACTCCCCCAGGGTAGACGGTTGAACCTTACTATTTTTTCCTTCCATGGAGCAGCCAGATCTATGCCCATTTTGCGTGTGGGCATTTCTCAGGAAGTGCAATAAGCCCAGGTGTTGTTCACCAGGGAAGGATTTAGCTACTGGGAATCTCCCATGCTGTGTGCTAGGTTTTAATCATGCATAATGAAAATGTGCCCTGCCAACCAGTCCTCACACACCCCGCACGATTTCCAAAGTCCAGCTTGTAACTTTTGCAATCATCTCTTCCTGAGACAGGGATGTCAGAGCAATTGGGCAGGGTTGCAAAAAGGCAATTAAGGCGGTTACTCGGAGTGGAGGAACATGTCAAGAAGGATAAATTCTTATTTAGCCA